AACCTGGGTTTGAGCCAGATGTGGTAATTTTGGGTGTTTTGGGAGGGAACCCAAGAAAATAAACTGCCTGCGTTGCCCGCCCCTGGGCGCAGCCCCTTATTTTCTCACCAATCCAGGACTCCAATGATTGGGATGATTGGGTGTTGCCTGAAGGTTTAGGGACAAAATCATGCTGGGGTTGCTCTTCCAGCATTTTGTCATGTTCCATTTCCCATTGCTATTGCTCATACTTCTCCGTGTTCTCCTCTTGCGTCGTGACGTCATACTCTGCCGGGCTGTTCTCTGGAGTGGCTTCTCTCTGGCAAGGTCGGCCATGTTGCGCTTGCGCCTCAAGTCTGCGGTAAGGCTGTGTGGCAGCTTCATGATCCACCGCTTGGAGTCCATGACCCTGTGTGGTCGAGCCTTTCTCGTGCTGCCGGAGATACCCACCAACGATAGGCATCTACTTCGCGCTCCGGGCCCATGGTCTCCTCGCAGCCCTTCACCCTGCGTCGCTTCCCTGTCTGACTGCTTGTTCGGGTGGTAGGTGGCAACGGTGACCCGTCACGGCTGCCATGGCCGTTCATTTCATCTCCATTCAACTCATGGTGCCGTTGGCCCTCCGGCTTTGGCTTGGCTCCGATGACGCCCTGCCTTCTTTGTGAGAGCGTGTCTGCACGGTCACATCCACCGGCTCGCTTCATCCGGCTCCCTATACCCGAGGCGGAAGGGATCTGACTCAGCTCCAGTATCGATTCGCGCGTGAGCCTGGCTCTTCTGGTTGGCTTGGCCTTCCGCTTTTTTGTCCTGCTTTGCGGGGGGCCTCCTTGGGCCATGTTTTTGGCTCCTGGGTTCTCTCACCGTTTCCCTGAGGACGAGCTGGCCACCTCCTCCACCTCTTTCTCTGCTCCTCTCTGCTCCCGGTCCCGATCTGCTTATCTCTCTTCCCTCGGCTTAGGTTTGCGGAGCGCCACCCTCAAAGTCACGATGCCTTGTGGAGCTTCAGGTTCACCCACTTGGTTGTACAGCTGGGCTAAGCGTGCTGCTTGTCCTTGCACGTGGTACTCTGAGAGTGCATGTAGCATCGCATCGAGAAGTGCTTTGCGGGCGCGATGGTCTAGGCTGTGCCACCTGTCTTGGAGGCCTAACAACTGCTTCCTCACATTCAATGTGCCTTGATCTTCATGGTCCTGGACCCGGCCGCTCCCATCAGCTCTCGGCGGCTGCATGTCTCCCCACCTTCTCTGCAGTGTCATCTGGTACCTGCAGTTGTCCATTCCTTTGGTCATGGTTCGCCTGCTGCTGCGTAGCTTGTCCAGGGCTTTTTCTATCGCTGTCCTGCTCCGACTCTCCGCTGCCAACTTGAGTGCTTCTTTCAGAACTCCTATGTCTGTCGAGTCCGGCCAGCTGCGCAGAACTTGTTGGAGGATAGGGTTTGGATCGCTTTCCACAGCTCTCTGTAGTTGTCTCGCTGCTGCCTGCGACGCGCCTGCCTCCGGGTGTGACCGCCCCGGGATGCTCATGAGCACTTCGAGGGCCGGACATGTCTCCGTGGCGTCGTCCATATTGTAGCCACCTCAGTAGTGCAGGTCGGAGTTCTCCCAGCGAGACGTCCATGTCGGAGTCCTCCCCAGATTCCGGCTCGCATCCACACAATGTTGGCGGCGACTCCACATACGCCAGAACTGTCAGGGATGGCTTAGCGTTCGGTCGGAATTCCAGGAGGGCCTTGACCATTATGTCAGCTATCCTTTGCTTCTCCTGCGGGTTGAGCGGTCTCCATGCCACTTCCTTAACTGTTGGTCTGCCCCTGATGGCTCCTCGTCCCGTCTGCATCAGCACCACCTCTTCGGCTGGGTCCGGGTCACCGTCATCGTCTGGGCCATCATGCTGGGTGTCATCGTCCTCCACTTCCACTTCCTCTTCTTCTTCTTCTCCTTCATGATGGCAGGCCTCCTTGCCGCCTGCTCTTTTCCTTCTTGTTCCCCTGGCCTGCTGTCTGCTCCGAAGGAACACGTAGCTTCTCGCTGAGCTTTGATGGGAGGACTTGCCAAATAGTGTGTTTGCTTTGCCAGGCGTTGGCTTGGTTCAAAGATGATCGGCCCCATGTTCTACTCATGGGACCTAGATGAGAACATTTACGGTGTGCAAAGATTTGCCAGACATGGGCTACAAATTCAGCAGGTGTAGCCGGTTTCTAGGAGTGTGCCGCAAGAACATGTTGCTCTGTGGATGGTTCTTGCGCTCCTGTTAGGGGCGGCAGTGCCCCCCATTTTCTAAATGCGAACAAAGATGAGAGAATTCAGATGTTGCTGCGTCTCGCTTGGATTTGCCAGGCATTCTGCTTGATTTCAGAAACAGGGTTGTGTCACCTTTCAACTTCTAACCCTGCGGCTTGGGTTGCAAGGTTCAGGGAAAGATCCCCAAAAATATACTCCTCTTTGGCAGCTTGCTTTGTTCTCATTGCTCAGGCTCTATACCTCACGTGGAAAGTGCCAGGGCAACGTCGTGATCCTGCGTGCATGTGCATGGGTGGGGTCGGCAGCAGCAAGGTCCGATTTTCTTTCTTCTTCTTCTGCGTGTCATGCGACGTCCAACCGGGTGTGTTGCTTGTTCTGTCGTTCTGTCCTTCTTCTCTGGCAGGCGAGGGAAGGAAAGGACTTTGCGAGCAAAAGACACTCACAGGCCTCTACATTCTGTTTAAGACACAATAACATTGTTTGGTGCTTCTATCGTTTCTGTTTAACCGCTATTCCTGTATTGGATGGCTTTAAAGGATGATGACTGAAGACCTACACCGCCGAGCAGCAGCTTGCCTGAATGTCTTCGGGCTTGAGAAGTGCATGAGACTTGCTATCCAGGTCCCTCGTTTTGAGTAGATGGCGTTTGTCTGGCTCCTTACAGTTGGGCAAACACATGCAAAGTGCCATCTCACAAGCAGAAGCTTGCACACGCATCACCCCTGCTCTGAAACCTCCATCCCAGCCACCAAGAGCTGTGCAATGCCTTCCTTTTGCGCCGTGTCAAGCTTTCGCCTGAAGGACTGGCTACTGAGCAACAGGCTACCATAGTTTGCCTGCTTTGGTGTCAGTGTCTGCAGATTTCCTGACTCTCCCAAAGGCTGATAATATATGGCTGCATACATTGCTCCTCATGCATGCTGTTCCCGTAGCAAGGTCTACACCCAACTGCCATGACTCAATGACCACAACCAGAAGTGCAGCAAACATCAAAAACGCATCAGCCTTGGCTTTGCCGGGAGCGGCGTCCCCATAGCCATGTAGGGCTTCCGGGTCTGATGAGGGTCCGGTGAGTCTACTGCCAACGCCTTCTTAATGAAGCACTGGATTTACTGCCTGCTGTGATTGCTCTCACCATCTGTTTCTGGGCTGCCATGATGTTGCATAAGCTGAACATGTCAGATGAATTTGGCCATTGGGGTGTTGATGCTTCGATTGCAAACCATGGACGGGCATGGCTTAAGGTGATCGTGTGAACCAAGTATTCTTCACATGCTGGTGCCTGAAGATCTGAACTCCAATAAAACGGGTCACAAAGTGGCGACACCACGATGAGCTAGACACCTTGCACCAATCTGGAAGCATTTTGGTTTTGTGCCCATCTGCAACACGTCGTCCCATCGCACTTCCCAGACAACATGGTGCTTTTTCTGGCACTGCAAACTAAACAGTCAAGTTGAGTCAAGTTGCATGCATGAATTGCTTGCGCTGGTGGTCTACCTACCGGCACCATGTCGATTCAGTCTGCATGGCACGGTCTCTGACTGCCTGCATCGACAGCACAAGCCTGAACAAATACACATCTGGGTGATTGCTAAATAATGGATGTTAATGGATGTTGTTGAGGACACCGTCCCACTGTCCATTGCTTTCACGGGTCCATGCGCTTGGCCTCCACTTGGCAGAGCTTTTTTGTGGAGCTAGTCCCTCACTGACTGTGGGGGCTAAATTTTGAAGTCTTTATGTCTCATCGTAGGGTTCTGGGCGTAGGTAAAGTACGGTATGGCACGGTTAAAGAATGCCACTAGAGGAAGACCTTGTTCACCAACAAAGGCTTTTGCTTCACTAGAGGCTTCCACTGAAAACTTCAGCTCAACCACAGAAGGGAAGTCGGCTTCCGGATTTATGGCCTCTCTGAGCTGTGGAGTTTCTACTTATCTCTCTTTGAATTTTGGCGGAAACTGTTCCAGCAAATTAAAACCTACCTTGCCTGACTTGATGCGGCCCTTGGTGCTGGGCATTGTGCAGCCGAGTAACTCATGGCCCAACAGCTCTTAGCCGCTGGACGGCGCCTGCCGCACCAGCTGTGCAGCTGACCTAGGCCCAAGAAGCATCCAAAAGGCCTGAGAAGTTGACGGCAGCTCTGGCTCCATCTTGACACTACTAGCGGTTTCGAGGCTGTAGAAAGAATAAGCGTCTAGGGCCTACGTATGTGTGCATTGCGTGTGCCTTTGGGGCAAAGGTGCATCAGAGTAGCATGCCGAGCCTTGCAGCCTCTGGCAATAGGAGACACAAGGCAGGTCTAGCCTCACAAGCCAGAGCTGCTGCCTCATAACCTGCAGCACCAATGTGTGTAACCGAAACCAAAGCTACAACGGAAGGCAGTGGCAATTTCTTGTTCCCGAGAGCTTGGCAAATCAATGAGTTAGTGAGTCAACTACGGTCAGAATAACCACGATCACAGATCTCACGCCCAGAAGCTGACAGCATTTGGACGGGCATGATGTGCAGCTGCTGTACCTTTGTGTGGCAGAGGCGCCCCTTCACAGAAAGCACGCCGCACTGACGAGCCGAGTGCAGTTATGATGCGCAACAAAGTGAGTGCAACTTCCCATCGAAGAGCTTGAGCGCAACTCTGAATCATAGAGTTGTATGTGACGACCTATAGCCCCCCTCCACGACACTGGTGCACTGCACACTGCACTGCAAGTCACAGCTGCGCAGCAGGTCTACCTTCAGCCAACTTGACCGCGACAATTGCAGCTGAATGAGAACGCAACTGTCGGTTTCAGATGCTGCGCGTGAGCCAACATCAAAATTCCCAATGCCAACTCCCACCGCGCTCCTTGGCTGTTCGAGTCATGTCGGTCTCTCCATGCCAGGATTACGCGAAATGGCGAGCAGGAAGTGTCAGTGGTGCTGACAGTGAAGCTGGCACATGCATGTTGCATGTAAAAGCAGCTTGGCAAAGGCGACGTGTACATGTTGCTAAGCCATGTCGTAGAAACCGTCAGTGCTGTTGGGAATCCCTGTCCACATGCGGAGATCGTTGCATTGTACGTGATGATGTCCTTGTCGAGCCTGCACAGCATCCGCGCAGAGCACAAATTTCTACTGTCAAGTGCCCCCTCCCGATCTGGAGGATGCGACTCCATGAATTCAAGACATTCACTTGCAGGCGGTGGTTTGCAGAAGGCCTCGCGCTTGCGCAGGCCACGAAGAGCTGAATCGCCTCTCACTGAGCATGCATCCTTTCTTTCACGAAGGCCGAGAATCGCATAGGAATGATTTAAAAAATGTCCGACAGAACCGAGCAAACCGGAAATAAGTCAAGAACTGTCCAAACGGAAGCAAATAAACAAACCTAAGCCAAAGATGCATCGCCGTCACACCATTGCACGCAGGGTACGAATGTCTCTGCGGGAGGCGAAAAGGCAGGGAGCTACACTTTTTCAAAATGGAGAGCCGGCTACAGCCACAATACAAAGTTTAATCTCTCTGTGAATCACGAAAAACTGCGAGGCTGTGGCTAGTCCTACAACTACCAGTATCGCGATTTGAATTTGCTATGAGTTTGCCAAACGATGTTCGCGAAAAATGATGCGGCCTCCGCTTGGCAAGATCCGTGGGTTTGGGGTTGGCTTTCCAAATTGCTCCAAGGCTTGCAAGAAGCAGTTAGCATCATTTGGATCACTTCGCCAAAGTCTGGCAAGCTCTGTTGTCCAGGCTCGAAGGGCTTCTCAATCGTTGTCCAAGGCCTGGAGAATTTATTTGCCCTCCGTTTGTGGTTGGGGGTCCCGGGTCTTCCCAACAAGTTGTCCAAGGCCTACCTACACTGAACCTACACGAACCAAAGCTCTAAAGCAGATTCTGCTTGAAAAGCCGGCTTTCCATGACAAGTTTGTTCTTCGCGCGTGGGCTGCAAGTTGGAGACCTAGTCTGGCTCCACAAGCAAGATTGCGGTAACAATAGCTCAGAAAACCTGGTTTGCTGGAGGTATTATACTAATACTGGTGTTATCAGGTGTTGGTAGCAAGATCTGTGCTTAGGGGGTGTTCCACATGATTTTAGCACCTTCCCTGCCGCCGCCGCCGCCGCCACCACCACCACCACCACGGCCGTCGTCGCCCCCGCCCCTGCCACCACCGAGGACGATTAAAGTTGCAAAAAAAATCTGCGAATCCTACCAGGAAATGCCAAGTATATAAACCACGCAGCCGAATCGTTTTACAGATGGCTGAAACAGTGGCTTTCCGACTTTCCTCATGCTGTCGAGCTTGGCAAAGACCACTGCCGCTGGTTTCTATTGCCGGTCAACGTCCCAGCATCCCAGTGCGTTGCGTGTGTGGCGGTTGATGACATTTCAGAATCTAGCCGGCTGTTGTATTCTGGTCAACAATCTGGACGCAATGTGTAGGGACAGATTGCCTCTGATTGCATGCCCCTCTCTCGATGCCAATTCAGGCGCAAATCGTGTACTTATCTCAAAAGGCAATTTCTGGCATATAATGCGAGTCTCAGATCCCTGAGTGCTGCCCGCACGAGCCGCAAAAGGCACGCCTTGAGAAGATGTCGATCATGCGCTTGTTGACGCATGCTGACTTTCTGTGTGACTCTGTGGGAGATGTGGATTGCCAAGTTGCTGGCCGGGTAGTGACACGAGCACTAGATAAACGAATTTTGGGTTTGTGAAAGAATTGCTGCAACATGCTAATCGAGCATCGGCCTGCCTTCTGCCACTCTCCTCCTTCATGGCAAGCACTTATTGCCTCACTGTAGGCAACTGACACGGAGGTTCATGAAAGACGGTCATGATCTTGAACATGGCGAAAGCAAGATTCATTCAGACTACTCGACTACTCATGAAGAAGTGCTAAGAGTGGTCGTTCGGCTCATCAATGCTACCGTATTTGTGCTGCATGCATCCTTGCGGGCAGGGATCAGCATTGAAGGTGATCAGATTCGGTGGCACGGAAGCCAGATCCTGTCTTCAGATGTGGTTCACCATCTGTTCAACTTTCAACTGTTTAGCCAAAGTCAGGCATGCGCACCATTGAATGCAGAAGCCGCAGTGCTTGCACCCACTCGCCACGATTTGCGCAGGTGCTGATGGCTGCGGAGAACATTATGGTGTCAGGCAAGATCCCTCAGTGTAGGCGAAGCGAAACTTCGTCATCCGAAGCCAACTTCTAATCCGCCCAGGTGCTCATCTGGTATGAAGCCTGGGCAACATGTTCGCCCCGAGGAAACAGGCCCGGAGGTTGGGTCCAAAAACGAATTTGGTATCAGGGCTGGTGATCTGCAAGCGCTCAGGACTGACCTGATCCCATGAACAGATGTACAACCTCTAATGCATGCTGCCCTGGAACTTGAAACAAGGCGATAGCCTCAAGCCACGCTGAGGATTTTTCGCACGCGGTGATGGCTCCGCTCGCTGCCACAGCATTTACAGGGACTTGCATGCAGCGCATCTGAGTCAAGATGTGCAGCGCCTGGTCCAGCAGGCAATTTGACAATGTTGAAAGGCTTGCAGAGGAAACCTTATCTCTTATTAGCAGCTGCCCTACTGTAAGCATTGGAATTGCGGATGCAAATGCCACAATGGCCGCCGGCTGCGCCTGTGCCCATTCGCCCTTGCTGGCGCACGCACTGATCGCTGCACCTAGGCTGCAGAGCTACTGTGGTGGCCGCCTGTTGCTGTGTAGTCTCTACACCCTGCCGTGCGCAAGCACAATCTCCAGCGTCTGCCCAGTAACTGCAAGAGATTGTGTTCGCCTCGATGCCTTCTTGTAACA